TTTTTATAAGTGACCTAAGAAATATCGCTCATGAGGATCCATGTTCAATTACTCATGAATCTTGACATTGCATGTTCTTCTAGTCGTTTTCCTCCAGCAGTAGACCGAAATCTGTACGAGACTTGTACAGATGATGTTTCGGTAAACTCGCCTTTTTTGGAGTCTGAACAGAACAGAATTATTAGTCTGAAATCCGCTCATATTCTACTGTTAGAGACGATAGCGGTTTTAGACAGAAGCTGTTGGGGCTGAGATAAAAATTCACTTCGGTTTGTCGCGGATCGCCTTTCCTACGGTATTTATAGATCACAAGGGATAATGGAATGAAATCTTTTATCGAACTCTCAAACAGAAGAAGCGCAGCCTGTCAGCTTAGCCATCTCATCTGATTATGACCTCAACTGTTTTTTAAAATACCGAGAATTGAAAGTCATACGTCTAAACAGCTTTACTTTTCGCTATACCCATATAAGAAATCATCTGAGTTCATCCTCTCTTCTCATCAAGAGCAGCGCAAGGATGCGAGGAATCTTTCAAGCCCACGTCTGAAAATGGCCAGAAGGCACGAGTTGGTACGAGTGCCTATTTGCAAGACCACGCTGTCTTGTGTGATGCAGTATGCAAGTAGTCAAATGATCACAACTGACTTCATCCTTAGTAGACTTTGAAAAGGGGCTATGCCAGGTATTCTGTCAGAGAACTGGTCAAATTGATTGAAACATTTAGATTCATGAAGGAGTACGACATCGATGGTGATGGTGTTTTGCGTGGTGAAGAAGTGCGTCGTTGGTTGATCCCTGATGTGAAAATGGTCGCCAAACAGGAAGCCTCACATCTTATCAGCGGTGCAGATAAAAACAAAGTGGGTTTGCTATCCTTCGGTAACTAATTCTCATTTTTATGTGTTGTAGGATGGAAAATTGAGTATTAGTGAGATAGTGGATGCTCATCAGCTATTTGTCGGTTCCGAAGCCACTAACTATGGAGAAGATCTGCATAAAATATCTCACACTGAACTCTAGTTTGATTAATGATTGATTCTCTCACGATCCTCCTCTCACGTCCGCCTTCTATGTCGTCTTATCATCCATATTAGTGAACTTGTAGTGTTTGTCAAAGCGTTTATACTGCATACGAGAAGCGAAAATCGGTTGATTGATCTCTAAGTAGTAGTGTGATGGTGAACGTATTTACGCGCCGCATTACTGTAACTACATTATATATGCTTGTGTAACATCTAATAGCTGCCCGTTCTCGCCTTTCGCGGCAAGTATCGCAAACTGCTCGTGCTGTTGTTGTATTTTTTTAGGATCCACGCAAGGGTCACGTTCTAGTGTTATTCCAAATGAATTTTTAGTCCTTTCATAGTGAAGAATGTGTAGTCATGTCATTGAGCCATCCGTTATGCTGATCTTATCGAATCTACGGTCTTTTTGCCTTCGTACATCTCTCGCCTCTCTTCTCACTGAATCATCTCCATCGATCTTCCATAGCCATTCAGGCTCAAAATGCCATCCATTGAGATATATTATATATTTGTTAGAATTTCTATCTTTACAGTTGCGTATAAGTAGTTAGCTCATGTATCGGTTTCTTTGGTGCTTTTTCTATCCATTACTTTCTTTTTATTCAGCCAAGTTCTCGAATTGCTCTCTGTCTCGGTCCATGCCAATGATCATCTCGTCATTATGCTTTTTCGTAATGAATTTGCGCTTTATATCATTTAGTTTGTCCATATATATCTTTCTGGGCTCAAAAGTGGTTTTCTGCAATAATAAAAGTATTTTATCGGCCTTGGAAATGAAATACAATGAATGCTCAACGTTACCCAGACTTGCTAATTTATCTATTTAGTTCGTCAGTGCTTGTTGTGGTAGTTTTGCTAGAATCTCTGATTGATTAATTCGCAGAAATTGCTTCATCCCGCAGATGAAAGCATAGTCTAGCGCCGAGCTTCTATAGGTTCGAGAATTGAAACTCGCATGAACTCATCTTTTGAAGTAATGGTACTCTTACAATAAGAATGTTGATTCTCATATCAGGATGTGTGTTAGCATTAACGACGATTTGACCCACATGGGTATATAACTCAAAGTGTGTTTGTTCTCTAATAAGCATGTTTTTTACACAAATTTTTTTGAGTGGACCAAATGAGATGAAAAATTGCATACAGATATTTTCGACCCCGGAGACGGTTTTGGGC